AGAGGGCAACGCATTATTGCAGATTAAAAATGAAGCCCTTTATCTGAGTGTGGAGGACAATCAGCAGGTTTAGTGCTTTCTGTTCTGAATGAGTTACTGATTCTCTTCATTAAAATATAATTAACGTGATGGACACAGAGCCCAGTGATATTGCCAGCATGCATCAATTACCCAAAGACAGTCCTTAAAAAGTGACACTGATATGTTAAAAGTGTCTGAGGCGTACCTACCTGTGTGTGTTTATGAACGAGGGCTCTGAAGAGTTCACCTTCTAGGATTGGGGAGGGCCCACAGCAATTCTGGAGAGGTGGGGAGACAGAAATAAAGCCTGTGGAAAGTAAGAAAATAGTAAATTGTTATGTAAAGCGTATACTCGTCGGTAAAAGTGTTGTGAAAAGCAATGATGTTATTATGCAAAGACATGTTTAAAAGATTTTTCATTGTTTAATGTGTTTTGCATAGCTAGCGTTGTATTGGCCATGTACAGTCCAGGCCATGTTCAGAATCCCCCCTGGTATTTGGGGGTCCCATGTTGTCTGGGTGCTAACTCACTCTCCATAGCGGTGCTTCAGTAGCATCAAACTGTTTGGTTTATCAGTTGTTCTTCTGGAGATGTCTCTGTTCTAGTTTGGTTTTGCGCTCTTCCTCACATTAACTGAGATCTTACTCATCTCCTCTTCTGTCTTCAGTGTGAGAAATGAGGAACAGTCACTCTTCACACCAAACTCTTGGGAAACTGGGCGAGTTTTCAGATTTACAGATCTGCAGCACATTGTAAAGTATTTAGAGGAATCCGGACAGAGTTACAGTTTCTAGACTATAAAGCACCAACTGGGTGAACCAGTCTGCGACAGCGCCACCCTGAGGCAGAGCAGTGCTGCAGCTCTAGTTAGTTAAAAACACCAAAGACAGAAGCTGATAAACAATGAGCTTCACTGAATCTGGATTTGAGTGTCTGTTACAGCATAACAACATAATAAGTTTATTTTCAGGGACCCCCAAAATTTTGATTTAGAGACATCAAGGGGGTTGAGGTTAATTAGAGTAGGTGTATTCCACACCTGGGTCCAAACCCTGATTGAGGGCAGGCTTAAGGTATAAAAGGGCTAATAGAAAATGCTAGGAGACCTCTTATCATTGGTGATCCTCACAGCTGAGTGCAAGCGTGGGTGCTCTGTTCTGCTTTGTAGCCAAGAAGCTTGACAGTGACTGCTGAAGAGTTGCTAACATGACAGCCAAGTCATTTTCCTAGGAGCTTTGATGTGAGGACTGTTTTAATTGGGATCTGTACATAGGTCTTTTTTCATAGTTTTTTTGTTGTTGTTGTTCTTTTTCTGCACTGGTTTAGGGCTTAACTTGGAGCTTTTGGACTGACCCCACCCCAAGTCATACTAGTCAAGTTAACTAAACGTTTATTTATATAGTGCTTTTTACAACAGATGTTGTCACAAAGCAGCTTTACAGAAAAATCTGAGTCTGAGCCGCCATGAGGGTCACCAAGAAAAACTCCCTAAGAGTAAGAGGAAGAAACCTTGAGAGGAGTCCAGACTCAAAAGGGGAAACCCATCCTCCTTTGTTAGACACCGGCTAGCAAACAATGACACAAGAGCAAATTTAACAGAGAATAAGGTTTTAACATTAGTGTAAAATACTAAAATAAAAGGGAAAGGGGAAAAGCAGGTGAAGCAATGGCTCTGATTGCATAGTTCAAGTCTGTGCAGCAGCAGCATAAGGAGAGTCAGTTCATGCAGGTGAGGTTTGCCCAGTGTTGTCCGAGCTCACAATTCTATATTATGAGCTGGTCTAGGGTCAGGCTGCAGCAAAATGGATGTGGTGTGAATGTATGCTTTGCGAATGAGTGTGAGTGCATAGAAATATGAACCTGTTGAAAGTGCGAGGGCAGCAGATCTGCGATCTCATATCTGGAAAATGTCTATTTAATATTCAATTTACACTCATGCTGAGTGATACATCATAACACGTAACAATTAATTCCTGTATTAATTAAACAGTTAATATATAAACAGAGGCAGTCAGAGTGGTTTAGAGTGAAACTACTGGACGCAGAGAAGTGAGTGTTCTAGAGAAACTTACTGAGTCAGAATTGTTCACAAGGGTGGTGACAGGAACCGGACATCCACCTCTAAAAAAAGGCCCCACACAGATTTTTTTTTACATGAAATGGTTATGAATACACTGCCTGATGTCTGAGACATTGTTTTATGATAGTTTTGAAAAGTTAAACTCCATGGTGGAGGGATACATGCAGGGCGCTGTGAGGCAAAATAGTCCCCAAAGAAAATGTATTATTTCAGATTTCCCACTATTTTTCCATCACCAACATTCCATATAAACTCAGAAGACTCGTGTAGGTTCACTGGTGGTTTTGGATAGTAAATAAAATGTTTATATTTGTGTTGTAGTCTTGGTGACCCCTGGTTCCTATCACCACCACTGTAAAGACATCTGAACCATTTCACACCAAACCACGCTGAATCACTCTGTCTTACACACTGAATATGGAGGATTTGTAGAAAGTTGGTGGACTTTCCCTGTAATGTAAACATATTAATTGTAATAATGAATGGGATAAATAACTTTTATCACTGTATTTATTTATTTATTGATTGGAATCTAATCTGAGCTGATCTCTGTCTCTTCTTCGTGCAGTGCTCTGTGTGCTGTATTGATCGTGACTCCAGCGTCTGATCAGATCTATTAGGAAATTCATTAGCTCTCCTAATGAACGATCTGCATTCACATTCTGCTCTCGCAGTAACGTCTCTGCACAGATCTCAGAGGGAAACTCTGGAGCTGCACTCTGAACACTCTCACACTGCTGTCATGATGATGTGCCCAAATATCCACACTGATGTTCTACCAGCGACCCGTTCAAACAGGTTCAACCCGTGTTTTTGTCGAAATATATAAAACTCATTAAAGGATCTGTATCAGGGGAAACTGAGCATTCCTCCTTTTTTAAACAGGAATCTGTTTTACTCATTCGCACTGTTCATAATTTTATTTTTACCTGCTAGAATAAATTTACAGCTTCAATGTTCCAAAATCATTATTTTCCTCATACTGTACATCTTTATTCAACCCTCTGTCTGAAACGCTCTGTTAGAGCACCTGTGTCTCTTTAAGCCCCGCCTCCTGATGAGCCCAGTGTGCCTTGACTGATCAGCTTAAAAAAAGACATACACTTAAAAAATCAACAACACAGAATTTGACCAGGGGCACCCAAACTTTTGCATTAAACGTTGCGTGTGTAAAAGAATCAGTTACACTCTTAAAAAAGATGGTTCTTCAAGGATTCTTTAGTTCTATATAGAACCATGGACACACAAAGAATCACTTGCATGATTAAATATTTCTCTATGGTGAAATGGTTCTTTAGATTGATGGAAAATGTGTTGTAAATAGCTCTGTGTAGCACCAAAAATGTTCTGCTATCGTTTCAGTGTCAAGCGCTGTGTAGAACCATATGCAACACGTTGTCCATTAATCTGAGGAACCATTTCACCACGTGAGGCATGGAAATGATTTTTTGAGTGTCCATGGTTCTTGAAGATCTAAGAGTGTAGATAAACACACGTAAACGTCAGAATTAGACGTCAGCAGGAAAAAATACAATACAAGACAAACGTAGGATATGGGATTTTCAGGATTTCATACAACTGTATTCTTTCATGAGTGAATCTATAAAAACACTGTGTAACATTGTACTAGATTTTTATAAAAAAGAAAAGAGGGCTTTTACTGAACAGCTTAAATGGGTTTTAACGTTGCAGCACTTTCAGCCTGACTGAATATTACACTGTTTATCGTTTAGTCTAGAAAACACTGTATTCCACACAGCTCTTTCAACACTGTCCTGATATATCAGTGATATTCAGATCAGATCACCATGAAGGGAACTGTCTACAGGAGCTCAATGAATTGTTTGGAAAATGACTGTAGAAGCTTAATTAGTGATCTCAGGAGCTTTTATGAATAATTCAGCAGACAATCATCTGTTGCCGTTCTGTGAGCAACAGTTTGGTCTGATTTGTCCTTCGGATTGAAAGTCCTATTGTGAACTGTAGCATCTTTCTTTCTTCTAACCTGGATTTGGTTCCCTTCACAGTATCGCTGTTCGTCTCTGCTGTGTTTCATTTTCATTTAGAAGGCAGGGGGAGGTGGGGGGTTCTTGGGTAGATCAGCCTCAAAAGAAACAGCGACACACCTCAGGAAATATTTACCTTGCCTATAAACAGCTCTTCAAAACGTCTCAATAATAATATTCATAATAACAATAATAGAAACTATTGCTAATAATGTATACATTATATTCATATCTAATTAATAATTATTACCATTTCTAGTAGTAAAAGAACATAATAAATAATGAATACTAACAATGCATTATATAATAATGTAGTAATGTTATTATTAATAAATTAATATGTATGTAAGGCTTGTGTTATATTCATAACATATAATCACAATAGTAAGAAAGCATTGATCATCAAATTATTATTATTTTTATTATTTTATCATTGATAATTTATATATTGTATTCATAATATAATGGTAACAACAACAAAACAACAACAACAACAAAACAACAACAACAACAACAATATTATTATTATTATTATTATTATTATTATTATTATTATTATCTAGACAGTGTAAAATATTGTAATTTAAATTAAGCTCATATTACCCCCCCGTATACTGTATACAGTTAATTACTATTAATACTACGAATTACTTTGACCTTAAAACTTACGATTTTTGTTCCCCAACAAACAAAACACACTGAACTGCTTCACCTATTTCTAGAAAGCAGAGACGCCTTCACTTCCCAGAGCCCTTAGTCTCTCATCGGCTTGTTGCTTGGCAACCGTGTTGAGTGCTATGTGAGGCAGTGTGTTAGAGGAACACTGCTGTCCTCCATGTGGATTTGGCTGTTCTTACAGAATCGGGTCAGTGACTGTGGAGCCTGGAGGGGGTTCGGCTCTTCTGCTCTGGGGGAGGAGACTCAGAGAACCTGGCAGGATCTGGAGTGCCTTCGGCAGCTCGGACCACCTTCAGGAGCATCTGTGAGCAGGACAAACAGACGGGTAATTATTAAAGGTGCTGCTGCTGGACCCTCAGAAACAAAGCCCCCAGCTATGCTGTTTCTGGAGACAACAGGAGCAGGTGGAGCACTCAGAATGCAGGTAAGGGAAGCTTCTGTGATACTCATACCTGTCTGTTGTTGAATATGAAAATACAAAGCATCTTTGGTTGGTGGTTCTGTATCCTAGCAGGATTTATCTGTTAGCCAGATCCAATCCAGTCCAGCGGCTGTACAACAGAAACTTCCTGTCTGTGTGTCTAACTGACAGATCAAGATAAGACTTTTCACAAATTTGTATTACAGAAGCAAATCTGATCTTAATTTACGAATTTTATTCTATCTTGTAGCATCTTAACTCCAGTTAGGAAATCTTAGCCTACTTGATCAAAGTCAACAATCAACTGTCATGTCTGTTTCCTAGCAACTGATCATACACACACAGCTAAAATGTAAACAAATAATCAAAATAATCAAGTTAGTTAGCCAGACAGCTACTGTTGCTGATGTACAAAAGGTCAAAAAAAGTTGTGAATACTGTGAGAGCACCCCTGCTGTTTATCAGAGCGTCGCAGTTCCCCAGTTTCAGTCTCCATTTCCCAAAGTTAGGACAGTATTTAGGAGATTTAGTCTAGTTCCTGTTGGATGGTCCTCAGTTTGGGCATAAATTATTCACAAACTTGTCACATACGGTTCTTTGCAATGATGTTATGAAGAACCAAAAAAGAATCAATCATTATATGTGACAGTAGGTGAAAATGCACCTAAACACAGAAAAAAGAGAGAGCAGTGATGTGTAGATAGACCTTGACCTGCATTTAATAAAAAGCAATACAAAGACAAGGTCTTTAATGTTTTACCTTATCAACTTTATTGTTTTATTGTAAATATATGCTCAATTCTGAAGCTGATGCCTGCAACACATTCCAAAACGTTGGGACAGGAACAATGTAAGACTGGGAACATTGTGAAATGCAGGTGATGCAGTCATGCTTGGGTATAAAAGGAGCATCCAAGAAAGGCTGAGTCATTTATGAGTGAGGATGAGTCTTGACAGAAATGCATCAGCAAAAAAGCCCAATTGTGTAAAAATAATATTCCTCAATGAGCAACTGCAAGGATTTTAGGTGTTTCACCCACTACAGTGCATAATATCATCAAAAGATCAGGGAATCCAGAGAAATCTCTGTATGTAAAGGAAAGGCTAAAAACCACAATGGAACTTCGACCACTTAGACGCCACGGCATTATGAACTGGCATGTTTCTGTAATGGTAACACCACATGGGTTCGGGAACACTGCGACAAACCAATCTAGTGTTTGCTGTCTATCTCTGCATCTGCATGCAGAATAAGACTGTATTCTGCACAGTGGACGTCACATATCAACAACGTCCAGAAACGCCGCCGACTTCTCTGGGCTCAAGCTCAACTGAAATGGACTGATGCTCAGTAAAAACGTATTATGTCTGACGAGTCCACCTTTCAGATTGTTTATGGAAATCATGGACGCTGTGTTCTCCAGGCCAAAGAAGAAAAGTATTATCCAGATTGTTACCAGCAAAAAGTTCTAAATTCATCATCTGTCATGGTGTGGGGGGTATTAGTGGGCACATCTGTGAAAGCACCATTAACATTATTAAAGATATACATTTTGAAATAGCATATGCTCTGTTCATGGGCAATTCATATTTATATCAGCATGACAACACCAAGAAACATACTGCATAGCTGCTTAATCAGAGTGTAGGTGCTAGACTGACTTCTCATTTAAAATGTGTTATGTATGGTGCATTATTCAGAATGAGCATATATTTACCAAAAGATTCTATTTACTCATCACTGCTTTCTGCTTTTATTAGCATCTCACACACTTTTTGTTTTTTTGGAACTGAATTTTGTACACAGTGGACCAAAACAATGTTCCTTCAGGGCCTTGGTCATAATGCACACTTGGCCTGTGTTTTTACAGGACCACACAGCACATATTAGTGGATGGTTTTCTTAAGAAACTCAAATAAAAGGTTCTTCATTGGCATCGTTGCAAAGAACCTTGTTTGGCAGCCCTCTGGTCCCCACACCTGAGTCAATTAATTAGCTCTTCATCAGGTGAGGTGTGTGCCTTAGAGCATGTGCAGGACACGGCTACTCCAGGTGCAGGACTGAGAAACACTGGCTTAAGTGATTAAGAAGAATGAGATACATCAAGATTGATCTGCTTCAGCAGTGATCAGGATCACCAGAGACTGGATGAGTATCTGACTGGACACTGCAGCAGGTGGCAGGAGAGACCAGGTGAAGAAGAACTGAGGGTTTGACCTTCTGCTGAATTCTGAAAGTCAGGCTGGGCCATCGTTCTCCTGATGCTGTATCAGGTATGCACTCAACTTCTTAAGGATAACAGTTAATACTACAACTACTGCTACTACTACTAAAAATAATAGCAATTGTAACCATGTATGATACTCTAATATACTACAGTGTAATGTTATTTTACAAAACACAAAGGCTAAGGAGAAAAGATGTTTCAACCAACTATAAAAGCAAAAAAGCATATCAAGAAAAAGGTGCGCCACTCTCTCTATACCAGGGCTGCCCGAGTCTGGTCCTGGACATCACCTACCCTGCAGAATTCAGCTCCAACTCTAATCTAACCCACCTGATCCAGGTAATTCTTAAGGCCTTCAGGAGCTTCTGAATGTCAGAGTCACCTGTGGGAGGTAGATTCTCCAGGACCAGGACTGAACATCCCATATCAAAAAAGGGCTTTGTTAGATTAAAAACATGCAGTTTTGGCCTGCATTCAAAGTCTCATGAAGCATGTTTCAACTTTATGTTCATGTTCATGTCTCCACTGCCACTGTGTTAGTGCTTATTGGAGTAATAACTGCTTTATATTCATAATATCTTTATGGTATAATTTGCTTCCACCACTGAAAAGGGAAAAATTTTGCATGAATGATGCCACAAATGTCACAAAGTGGCCCAAAATTAGCTGGAGGGGTCCATCACTGTCATAACTATGGCCCCGACTGGTTAGAAGCAGAACACTGATTGGTCAGAAGTACATCCTTGATTGGTCAGAAGCTCAGCCTAACATCAGCACTATGGTGCTCACAGACGCTGGGTCACATTTTCCTGGACGTTTGCAATGAATGGCATAAACCACATTACATTAGTTGCAATTAATAGCACTTTTAATTTGATGTGGCATAAGAAAAATATCATTTCTGCCACATTTGTAATCACCAGGAAGGATCAGTATCGACTTTACTTCAGAGCATCTCTGCCTGATGTCTGTTTTTACAACCATATAATTATGTTTCTTTGCCCTGGGTGATTAATTTTAGAGCCTTGGGCAATTGATCACAGGGTTATGGGTTCAATACCTGGCCCTTGAACGAGGCACTTAACCCTCTCTGCTCCAGGGTTGCTATATCATGGCTGACCTGAACTTTATGAGCTGGCATACACAAAGAAATTTTGTTGTATTATGCGAAGTGTGTAAGTATTGTAACATGTTCAGAAAATGTTCATTCTGATTGTTCTGCAGCAGTTATTTTCTCCAGGGACTCTTATTGTGAAGCCTTTTGGTATTGTTTTTGCTAAAGTTCAGGGAGATCAGAGTTAGTCAACAGCTGACGGCCAAGCACGCTAGACGTAATATAGGGTAGTGCACTCTGTTTGTTTAGTCCTTTCATGTGTGAGGCAAGGCTGGAGCCTAATACATTGGGAGCAGAAGCTGTGTTTACTCCTGTCAATGACAATAATGGTGCTTAACTTAAACTTCGTAAATCTAGGGAGAACTTTTTGTTATCGTCATTTAGGATGCTTTCACACCTACCTTGTTTGGTCTGAATCTTCAAACCTTTCAGTTGGGTCCGAACCAAAATAGCAGGTGTGAAAGGTGCCTTGGACCAAAAGACCAAAATTCAGTCTGACCAAAAGAGGTGGTCTCAGTCCAGATCAAACTGAACCATAGTTTGATTTGTCTGCAGAGTAAAAAAAACACTTTTTTGGATGTTTCGGACTTGCAGACCGATTACAGAAAGTTGAGGCAGGATATCATCACACATTAAGTAATTGAAGAAGAAAAAGAACCGAGAGAGGTAAAAATGAGCCGCAGTAGCTCACAGGGAGGATACCAAATGTTTAACCCTTGTGCCTTATCTATGGGACCCATTTTCAATGTCTACCACAAGAAAAAATTTTGTGATTTATTATTATTTCAACCTCAGATTCTTTTTCTTCTGCTCATTTTCTGTGAAGAATATATAACACATATTCAATGACTTCACACTGTACAGCCCCTACACATTTATATTACACATGTGGTGTTGTGGTGAACCCACAGGTAATAAAAGTGTGGAGGTGCTGTGTCCCTTCACTCTGTTCTCCTCCTACATGGCCTGCTGTTAGTGTGTAATGTGTATGTATATGTGTGTGTATGTGTTTGTATATGTGTGTGTGTGTGTGAGGGTGGACATCATGGACAGGCTGCTGACTGGCTACAGCTGCTAAAGGAGAACCCTACAATGGCCACTTGTGATATTTTAAACATCTGGTAATTTTACATAAATTGTTATGGCTGTATTGATTTAAAAAAACAACAACCCCAGACAAGGGTTAACTGTAATTTGGTCAAATGACAATTCAACTTGAAAAAAATGCCTAAAAATGCCAAAACATATACTTTGTTCTCTGACAGGATGAGAGAGAGAGGATATTTATTTTTCTCCTTTCAATGAAAAGGCTGCCTGCCTCACTGAACACACCGATGTCAGACGCTCCTATACAAAACCAATCAGGTGTAAAAGGACTGTCAGGTCTCTGAGAGGACTTAACCTTGAAATAAATTATAATGTTTTTTGAAAGTCGTTTATTACCTTCTTCCTATGCTGTGAACATGATAGAATCTAATCTTAGTTCTGTGTTTACGTTTAGGCCACTAGATGGGGCAGAAGAGGTGTTTCATTAAGGGTCAGCACACATTCTTAGCCTGTGAGAGTTTTTACTTTGTGTTGAGTCTTGTACATGGTAGCCTAATAAAGCCCTTTTGTGGTCTTTTGTAGAGTGAATGTTGCACCTTTTTCCAGATGGTTTGCAAAATATGCAAATCCAAAAAAACAAAACATATGCAGACCTACATATTCACAACATGAACAGTAAGATAAGAGGATAAGAACATAGTAAAGACGTAATGAGTAGTTAGATAAACTACTGCCGCAAGTCATAAACCAGGCCAGTAAGATCACAGCTAATAAATGACCTTAACTTATTGACATAATGTCTTAACGTACACAGAAAAAGACAACATATTTATAGTGAGCCCACTTGTTGAAAGTTCCAATGGTAAGGATTTCTGCAGATTTCTGCATAATTTAGAAGTTAGAGATGTAATCAGAGAGATTCAGAGTGGTTTGTTGTGAAATGGTTCAGATGTCTTTACAGTGGTGGTGATAGGAACCAGGGGTCGCCATGACTACAACACAAATATAGACATTTTATTTACTATCCAAAACCACCAGTGAACCTACACGAGTCTTCTGAGTTTATATGGAATGTTGATGATGGGAAAATAGGGGACTATTTTGCCTCATAACACCCTGTGTATATTGTGTATCCCTCTACCATGAACGGAGTTTAAGTTCTCTAAACTATCATAAAACAGTGTCTCAGTCATCAGGCAGTGAATTCATAACCATTTCATGTAGGAACTTTCTGTGAGGGAGCTTTTAGAGGTGGACGTCTGGTTCCTATCACCACCACTGTGAACAATTCTGACTGTAAGTTTCTCTAGAACAGAGAGTTTCACACCAAACCACTCTGAACGACTCTGTTGAGCCATTTAATTGTGCTAATTTTTGAAAAAATTAGTGGAATTACCCCACCTATTTTTAATTAATTTGTTTGTTGTACACATATTTATTTGGGGTTCATCTTGATTTTTGTGTAATTGTGTTTTATTTGTAGTTGTGCATTTTAGTCTTTTCGTGGGCAGAATGGGTAATTTATCACTGATGCTGCTTTTATATATATCAGTGGCTATTCATATCTCATGTGTACTTCTGTATTACAGTGTAGAGTTATAAAAACCAGTGCAAAATATCCATTTTTTACAAATGAAATGGACAATAAACTTTCTGATTCTGATGTTAGCTCAACACAGCCTGGCATTGGAATCTTATCAGGTCACTGATATAAACTCACATTCAGTTTGTTTTTTTTCTATCTGGCACAAAATATGCAACACTATCAGTTTGGACAGGACAGACTCTGACTGCTGAAACTGAATATGTTAGTAATCACCTACAGAGGTATAAAATGGAGCAAAAGTTCAGATCAGCAGTAGAAGCTTGTCCATCACACCGTCATCAGGTTTCACTCAAAACCACAGGACACATGACAGTCGGACAGTCCCACCGTTACAGACATGTAAGACTCGTTTGTACTCAGCAGTAACTCCGTCTTCTGTTTTTCGTGTTTAAAAGGAATCTGTCGTGTTTATGCAGACTGGCTTTAGGAGGAGGCTCTTCACCCACCACAGGAAAATGCTAAACTATGCCATGGGCCATGAAGAGCCCAGAGAGCAGAAGAGTGAAAGCAGGGAGGAGTCCATCCTGGCCTTCCTAGGAATTGCTGGAACCATCCTCAACCTCCTGGTCATCATCTTCGTCTACATCTACACCTCCATTTGAACAAAATCCATTTCATTGTAAGTGATGCAGATCAATCTGGACTATGGAACAGACAGACTACCCCCCACTGGGGGCTATGGACAGTTCCTGGACATCAGAACAACTCAACCTGTTATTTTAGTGGGTTATTTATATTTTAGTTAATTGGAGACCACATAGCCTGTTCTTACTGTTCATATTTTTGTTCTGACATTCATATGGCCAAGCACAACATCTCTGTAAACATTTTGAAACTGCTTTTGGATGATTTTCTAAATGATCCTGTTTCTTAGCTTTTAGAGGTCAAATTAAAGCTTATATTCTGAAAACATTATGTCTGTTATGGTCTGTTCTGGGGTCCTGGAGATCAGCTTGAACACATATACACCTTGATTTATTCCAGCTTCCATTGTTTTCAGGAGACTCACTTTCAGCTTCTCAAAGAATCTGCAGACACACCTCCAAAGTTCAGTCTTAGAAGCTGGTTGATCATTTTCTGAAGTAATCAAACACATTTCAGTGATGTTGAGGTCTGGACTCTGGGGTGGTCAGTCCATCGTTCAGCTTCTTTGTTTGATGTGTCCGTCTCCTTTTCTCAGTGAGGTTCTTCTTGACAGCTACACATCCTTTCAGACCCATAGCGCCGAGTCGTCTTCTCACAGTGGAAGGATGGACAGAAACACCTGTGGATGTTTTCAGATCTGAAGCAGCTTGATTTTCTCCTCTCTCTCACAGATGAAAGCTTTGTGTGCTGTTTATCTGATGGGGCAGTTTTGGTGTCTACCAGGTCTTCAAGGTGGCTGTTAGGAGGCCCATTTTCTCTGTAGCTTTCAGTCAGTTTTTGAACTCCAGTTTTGGAAACTTGCTTAGTTCATTTTGACATCTTGCTTTCTTATGCAAGTGGGTTATAATTAACCTCATCAGAAATACATCCTGAAAAATTGATAACTGGTAATTAATGGCTTTTTAGACGTTGGTCTCTGACTGTTGGACAATATATATTGCAAATTTAATTCAGATGATAAGCAAGGTTGAACACAGCTCTGGTTAGAATCTGTATTTTTGGTATAACTGTCAATTTCTTCTAAGCTGTGTCAGTTGAAGTCTCCAGCAGTTTATTTTAGGAAATAACCAGCAAACAGGACATTTCTCTGCTTATGGTATTGAGTAATAAAGGAAAAAGTATCTGCCTTTTCCTTCAGTAATATTCTAATCTTTTTGACACTTGCCCCTGGGATTGTCGTCTGAGGTTGATTTATTAATATATTTGTGTATGTAGGTCAGGTTTTGGTAGTTGCCTAAAAAAGCACAGATTCCCCTCTATAAACAACAGCAGACAGTGAACATTAAAAAGCAAATGTAGAAAATTTACCATTTGTTCTTGTTTAGAGAGATGTGCCTTCACCAGAAGAGGTGGGTGATACTACGCTTATTCATTTCCATGTACCTCAGTAAAATTCTGATGGATTTGTCCTTTGCTGAGTATTTTCAAATGATACTTTTACTTCTGCTCAAGTATTTCAATGAGTTTCCTTGTTTCCACTTCAGTCATTAACATTTAGCTCCTAATTCCCTTTTTGGGGGGTTTTAATTTCATTCTGCTGTGTTGTTTCAGCTCCTGTTCTGCTGTACTGTTGATCAATTCTGGCACTTTGGAGCTTTAACATCTTAATTTAAGCCAAAAACATCCAAAAAGAGACAAACAAACATCAGTTTGTTAATGAGGCTCTCAATATCTACAAACCCAATTCTAATTAAGTAGGGACAGTGTGTGAAAAGCAAGTAAAAACAGAAACCAGTGATTTATCAATCTACACTCTTAAAAAAGATGGTTCTTCGTGGGTTCTTCAGTAAAGGGAATGGTTTTATTTGGAACCCTGAGTTCTTCAAAGAACCATTTCATGCATAGATGGTTCTTTGCATAGTGAAATGGCTCTTCAGATTGATTGAGAATGTGTTTTACAAGGCTTTAAATAGAATCTTTTTGAAAATATTTCCATATAGCACCAAAAAGGTCCTGCTACTGTTACAAGCTTGATATTACTAACAAAAACAGAACCCTTTGTGGTGCTACATAGAACCATATAAAGCACATTCTCCATCAATCTAAAGAACGATTTCACCATGCAAAGAACTATTTAAACATGCTAATGGTTCTTTAAATGTCCATGGTTCAATATAGAATCATTGTATTTACTAAGGAATCCTTGAAGAACCATCTTTTTAAAGAGTGTACTTTATTGTGCTGTATTTAAATGAAAACAGTACAAATACAAGAGATTTAATCTTATCAGCTTTGTTGTTCTATTGAAAATATATGTGCATCACATTTCAAAAAACCTGAAATATTTGCAGTTTAAGACTAGAAATGTTATTAAATGTTTAAAAGTTTAAAAGAGATGATAAGCAGAACTTTAAGAACAGTGTTCCTCAGAGAGCAATTGCAAGGATTCTAGAGATTTTGTAGGAAGTTCTTAACTAGCTAAAGTATAAAACTTATAAGGCAGAGACAAAGTAATAATATTTCATAAAAGTGTTATAAATAGAACAAATAACCATCACTGTAGTTTAAGGCCACTTATATTAATGCATCGTCAATCACTTCTTATAACAACATCTTATATTATCTTGCGTTTGCTGTCATACACTCTTAAAAAAGATAAAAAGATAAAAAAAGGTTCTTCATAGATTCCTTAGTAATGACAGTGGTTCTATGTAGAACCATGACCATGTAAAGAACCATTTGCTTAAATGGTTCTTTGTATGGTGAAATCTTTCTTCAGATTGTTGGAGAATGTGCTGTATATGGTTCTAAATAGCACCAAAATGGGTTCTGCTATTGTTACAATGTCAAGCTTGACTGTATTGATGTGATCAAATAAGATTCAGACATCCTGTACATTCTTAAAGATAAAGATTCATAGGCAGTTGTTTTCTTTGAGGACATGAACCGTCTCAGCATTAATATTGAGGTGTTCTTTCAATCTGAATCTCAGCCAACATTTACCGCATTATTGATAAGCGTTCTGATGGTTTCATTCAAAATAAAACAGAAGGCTGAGCATTTTAATAAGAGCTAAAACAGCTTTTTGGAAAAGGCTTAAATCTATTAACATTTCACACACTAAATATCACAGCTTGAAGGAACGGTTTCTGCAAAAAATCAAAATCCACTTACCCCAGATGTCGTAGATCAGCCAAGACGTGTTTGGTGTCCTAATTTTCCCTTTTATGTTCTGAAACTGAAGCTAAGAGGTTAATTTGATATTAAACAAAAGAAGTCACTAAATATTTTTCTTGAAATACATTTTCAAAACTTTCCTCAGCTCACTCTACCTGCATCCAGGTCTTCATTACGTTGGTGCAGAATTGTAGATGTGGTTTAGGAAGATGTAGTATAACTTGACAAGTCTGCACCACCTTAATTAAGTCCTGGATGCGGTTTAAGCAGGTTGAGAGAAGCTTTGGGGATGTATTTCAACACTAAAAACAAAGATACCTTAACAAGCCAGAAAATCTTAAAGATAAACAATATTTTAGAGATTTAAAGACTAGACTAAACTTTAACTATTTTTATAGAATTTAATTGCACAGATATCTCACTTTATAATCTTAAAAATTCCAAAATGTTGCATAAAAGTTTATTTCTTCTTTCATAATAAAGAGCTTTTAAAATTGCCAAACTGATTAGTAGCATACATACTGACCTAGTTCAGCAAAAAGTTTCTTCATGATTAGAAAGAAATCTTGTCAAAAAATTTTGTCCAAAAATGGTTTTAAGGAAATACTTAATTACAAGATGAATATGCTAGTTGTAGATTATTACTATGGCACCAGATGAATTTAGTGTTATGAAATCCAGCAACTAATGAAATATTTACTGATTTAATGAAAGGGGACCAGAGGGTGTGTGCCAACTATCGGGGTATCACACTGCTCAGCCTCCCTGGGAAAGTCTATGCCAAGGTGCTGGAAAGGAGACTTCGACCGATAGTTGAACCTCAGATTGAGGAGGAACAATGTGGATTCCGCCCTGGCCGTGGAACAATGGACCAGCTTTTCACCCTCTCACAGATTGTTGAGGGGACATGGGAGTTTGCCAACACAGTCTACATGTGTTTTGTGGATTTGGAGAAGGTTTACGACCGTGTTCCCCGAGATATCTTGTGGGAGGTCCTCCGGGAGTATGGGGTGCCGGGGTTACTACTCCGGGCCATTCAATCTCTGTACACCCGGAGTGAGAGCTGTGTTCGTATACTCGGCATTAAGTCAGACTCTTTCAGTGTTAGCGTAGGACTCCGCCAGGGTTGTGCCCTGTCTCCACTCCTGTTTGTGATATTCATGGATGACAATAAAATGTTTTTCCTTATTTTAAGAAATCTTGTTAAAGTAAAATTTTCTCACCATATTGGAACATCATTTGGCTTTGAATCAAGAACTTTTTTCCTTGGTTCAGTTTTATTTTTCAGATATTTTTAAATGACGAAAGGATTTGGGTGACTATTGGCTTCGACTGTTTATTAGCAATGTTAGCAGCCAGTTCTAAAATAAAGAAGCCAAAGCTGGACTCAAAACATGTCTTGGCAGATTGATTACATTGGAAACAAGTGGAAAGCTGTGAAAATATATATTTTTATTCCCGAACTATGCCTTTAAAGGTGGAATTTTGTTCCTTTTAAGAACTGAATTACATTCAGTCTGGCAACCACTTGGTTTTAGATTAGACCTACTAAGGGAGAAACAAAAGGCCAAAGTCAATTACATGGTTTGAAATGAACAAACTAAACATGGTGTCACTTGCTGTTATGTATTGATCGATAGTCTGCAATAGCAAATCCATACATCATTACTCTGGAAAAACAGAGCTAGAACAGTACAGCTGGTTCCCAAACAGTCACAGTTCTATATGCTATAGTAAGGAGAGTCACATTCATTCTCATGATATATTATTGATTATTATAAGGCTCTCTGTATTGTTGTTCTGACTGAATTAACTAAATCAGTTTAGCATATCATCACTGTCATTATAATCCTCACTTTTTTAGAACACTCCTGGTCTTTACACTGGTTAAACATTTTATAATGAATGAAGTGACTTGAAGTGGTCCAGAATTACTTGGAATAAAAGCTCATTATATTAATTTACATTCAACATCAAAGAAACCTGGATCTTTCTCACTTTTTGAAATAAAAAAGTACTGTTAAAGTGTCTAAACCATACTGTTCACCAGTCTATACAGATCATATATGGAAAGAGCCTGGTTTGAATTCATTGTTGTTATAATGTCACAAATACCAACAAATGTCCCAGAAAACATGGACAGGAGCAGT